AGAGGGTCGGTTGGCCTGCCATTTCAATCGATCTCCTGCCGCTTGGTGCCGCTGTTAGTTCTAGTGCCAATGAGTATTGGTCTCGTCACATAGAAATTGGTGCAAAGGAAGAACAAGGATTTCATCCAAGGTGCCTCCTTTGGGTTGAAATTCAAGCTTCTCCTTTTACAATTCAGAGGTGATTTTTTCCCCGAGTTAAGATATGGCAGCTAGACATGCCCAAGTCATTACCACAGTGGCAAGGAGATTGTGGCAATTGCAGGGCTAGTGACTGGACAGGAATCTCCCCCCCTCCCCCCCAAACCCCCCCTCCGTTGAGAAAATTCCATTCAAGGTTGAATGATATTTTATTTTGTCTCGGAAGAAGAAGTTTGGGGGGAGATCCGTACTACTGAGGATCTTTGTGACGGAAAAGGAGTGATCAAAGGCAAGAAGCTACTTTAAAGGAGACAGTTACTGGTGAGTGGGTGACAGAAAGGGAAGGGAAGGGAGGGGTAAGTGTCTACAGGGTAATCCCAGGATGGTGGATGGGGAAAGGGGGATGAGATCAAACCAGCGAAATGCTGGGATAAAATAACTTTTTTGGCTCTTTATACATTTTCAACCATGAACTGCGCTAACCCCAGTTAATGCGTCTGGTTGGATTCGAGTGGTTTAGACTTCTATGTGTGTCTACGTGGTGAGAAGCATAGATATAGATCTGTCATGAGAAACCTTTCTAGTAAATCTCTATTGCATATCTACCGTCTGCTAAGTTAATCAAATCATCTCCGTTGCATGTCTACAAAAAACCGTGCTTGCATGAAAAAGTCTATCCTATGTTTTCTGCCTCATTCTTGTTTATTTCAATTTGTTCAGGTCCCGTCTGACATATCTGCGCAGGATAACCAGACTGAAGACCAGGTAATTCCACAAATTTCGGAATTATTTATGGAGATTTTAACAAGGAAAACTTTCTTAAAATGCTTATATTCCTCGAATGCTCTTCCATAAAAGCAATCACCTGAAATATCCACTTTAACTGGAAGGAATTAGTCTGCTTCAAGAATTTATGGATATGCTTTCATGTTTCTTTGGCGATACGACCTCCCAATTAGAGTTTATGACAAAACCTGTATTAATTTTTCGATTTTGAAATGTTAGTATGGCTGGGCAAAAGTAATTTCTGCTGCTTCAACTAATTCATAGTTTCATACATATTTTTCTCCAGAAAGAAGGTACTGGAACCAACTCTGCCCCATCATCTTCAAAAATGATCAGCTTTGAACTTTCCAATGGTGACCCGTTTGGTTCCAGTGTTCCTGCATCAATAGATGATGATGACTATGTGGAATATTCACTTGATAGTTTGGCAGATTTTCCTAGTAATGTGGAGGAAGAAGAAAGGGTAAGTACGTTGAGGTTTACAGGATTTCGTCGCTTAATTGTAGGCTTCAGTATTCATTGGTTCTTTCACTGTTTTGACCTTTTGTCTGTTGACAAAATATCAGATGTTAATGAAAGCAGTACTCGAGTCTTTAAAAGACTTGGAGGTAAAACCTCCTCCAGCTGAGCAAGCATCCTCAAAAGTTGTCGAAGAACTTCCTCAACCTTTGCAGGACAGTAAAGAGGAGTCAGCTTCTACAAAACAATGTACTCCCTCAAAAGAAATTAGTGCTAGTCCCATAGTTTCTAATGGACATGATTCAGACGCCAAAGTCCAAGTTCAAGATACTGTTAAAGTATCAGTAACACCAGCTAACAGTACTTTATCGGCGAAAGAAGTGAAAAGCAACGGGACTCCTTCTCATCGTGACATGTCTGTCAGCAGTCAAAGTTCGTCCAGCGTTGACATGGTTGATGGTACTAAAGCCACTCTGACCGTTGTGAAGAACCCAACAAGTAATATCATGGATGGTTTATTGCGTCGTTGGGATCGCAACTTTTTCAAGAACAGATAATGGTTAGACGATTGACTTTTTACAAAGAAAACACTTGGAATGGATTACGTGTAGCAGAAAAAGTTATAGCGGCTATAGAAATTTGCTGTTCGCTGAATGTACATTTTTGGGGGGAGTAAATATTTGTATTTTCTGTCAGGGGTGGTAAGTTGTGGCAGGTGGTTGTGGGAAATGGAGGGGGGGTGGGTTCGGTTGTCGCTAATTTACATAGGTCTTCCTTGTTTGGTACAAGTGATTCAGCTTGTATATGTATTCCCAATGTGAAGAAATTAGGCTCATAGGCCCATTGTTTGTTGTAAATTATGGATTACCAAAATGTGTCATGTAGATGTACAGGTGATGTGCAATTTTTTCATGACAATCTTGCAATTGTTAGCACTCTCCAATTTCTCTATTTTATTCAGTTTTATAGTGTTTGTAATATTGTATACAAATAGAACACATCTCATTCTTTCAACATGGAAACATGCTTCAGTGTCAATGCTATTTATTTGAAGTACTCTTTTATAGCTTGCCGGATTTACTCTTTACTTTTCCTAGAGGGTATATATAGATTATACACTGATCGTACACGGTTATACACATCACACGATATATATTATACAGTTGGGTGGGCAGCTATTTGTCGTTGGCCTTTTGCGTGGTCATATACTTCCCTTCATTGGATAGCCTGGTTTGGGTTTTAGTGTTGGTTTTTAATTCATAATTTGGCTTATGTGATACAAATATCATTTTGAATTAGAGTCTGCAAATTGTAGTGGCAATACTAGTTTGCTTTCTGCTTGATCTCAGAACCTTGTTTAGCAAATTTTAGCTGGATCTTTGCCATCTTAATATTTTGCTCTGTCAAATAAAAGCAGTATTAAAATAGACAGCAGTGGAACTTGTTGCGAATTACAATATATTACTGTAACTTATGATATGTTTCTGTAATAGCACTCTACATAATAATATTAAATTAGAGAAAAAGAATGCTCTACCATATACTTCAATGTTTACACCATTATTCCTTTGAATGGCTAAAGTATGAACCTTAAACAATTTTTTGGTGCAATAACTGTTGAGGTTTCTATCATTCTTTTTCCCCAGCCAACAACTTCATTGCAGTATCAACCAGCGCATGAATAGTCACAGTGTGTCGATTCATTCCAACTGTTCCTGAGAAAACATTAAAGCTCTCTAGCTCTGATGTGGTTTCTATAATGTACTCCAGTTCTCTTTCCAATCCCAGACTTCTGAACGCTTGAACGTTTGTTCTTTTATCTCTCATCATCCAGATCGACAACTCTATGACAAACCTCCTAATTCTTGGAACCTTAATTGATGGATGTTGATGTTTCCTAAGAATCACAACAAGTTTTGCAGCCAATTCAGCTCCTTGAATTTTCGCTCTCTGGAACATGATGCTCGACTCTTCTGGTGTTATAAACTTGAATATATGTGCACCTACTCCCATCATTACTTCCTGTAACTTGTTTTCCTCTGTCATTATTGCTTTGAGTACCTGAAAAGACAGAATTCAATTTAACCTGCAGTATACTGAACTAAAAAGAATAAGTTTTCGTATAGTACTTACAGTTGGTCCTGCAACAGCAAGTTCCCTCAATTCTTCAAAGTAACCTGATCCACTGTAGACACATAAGTTTCTCAAGATTCTCGCTGCATTTACTCGAAGCAATGGAACTTCCAATGCTTCGACGAGCTTTCCAGTGACCTTGAGTTTCAATATCGTATGGCAGTTGTTCTTGCTTTCAAGTGCCAACATAGCTAGTGCTTCTCCTGCTGCTGTTCTTACTTGACCGCGATTGTTAGGTGTGGAGTCCTTGAAAAAAATGTTGCACAACTCCTTAAGGATTCCTCCGGTTCCTCCAATTCTCTCTGTTGCATCATCTTCCAATGCAAGACTTTTCAAGATCTCTATTCCCAAGTGTTGTAAAGTAGGGTATTTCTCCCCATATCTTAATAAGTCCCTGATGTTGCTAATAGTGAAAACTATCTCTGAAATTTCTTTCCTTAGCTCTTTACCTGTGGCGCCTGCTGTGCTCGCCAGCATCTTCACGACCTGGAGAGATCGTTTTAGTGTCAATATCTGCGTTGGCGTTGCTGATTCATCTCTTAGTAATCTCTCTCCTGCTTGTGTGAACTCTATAATTTTGGGCAGAAGACCTCTAGTATTGCCTATCTTTCCACAGTTATCGTGGTCGCGAGCAAGTTTCTTTAAAATGAGCAGCCCCAAATGATTGAATGTCCAAAATCCATAATTTTCATTGTCAAAGATGATTCTCTTTTCACAGATTTCATCATTTGCTCCAGTAGGACCCCTGCTGATTTGAAGAAGTGAAGATATGGACTCCATAGCACCAGGTATACCCGCGACACGAAGAGAATTTTGCTTTTTACCAGTAAGCTTTGATATAATCTCTGCTGCTGATAGCCTTAACTCTTCTTCTTGTATGTCTTTCCAATTCAGCATCTCAACCAACCTCTCCATTACTACTATGTTTGTTCCAATCTTCTGAAGTGTGTCATCACAAAACCGTGGACTCGTAGCAAATTTTCGCAAGATTTTAGCACCAATAAGCTGTTCATCAGGTGAGTTAGAGGCTAAGAGTTCAATAGCAAATGAAACCATATCCATCTTTAGACCATCAAATATGCTCCCATAAACACTTTTCGAATAAGCATCATAAAAGAACCGTCTGACTGAAGTCATACCTGATGGCCCCAATTCACACTCTTTGTTCACCTTCTCCAACAGACTACAAAAGTTGATTTTCCATTCCCAATAGGCTTTTTCCAATAGAAAAAGCAATGCCTCCGTGAAGGCGAGGGAATAGAATATAAGTAGAGCACTTTTCCTATTCCTCTTATCGGTATCTCCTTTGGCCACTTCACCAAAGTTCCTTAATACAAGCTTCATCAATGATAGCACCAAACATGCTGTTGCAGATAGTATTTGGAGCCAATACAGCATTTTGCTAACATTCCTTGCTACGAACATCCATCTCACGTATGGAAGTAGAGGAACCTCAGAACTAGTCCACGTTCGAGTTGGCTGTTTCTGCTTTTTCCACTGTGAATTCCTTGCAATTTCTCTGTTGTTAACATGCCTGCTTCCCTTTGTAACATCAGAAATAGGCTTGAAAATTGTTTTTACAGCATTGACAATGGTTCTTGTGCTGGATTTGATCGCGCGAAAGCTACTGATTCCAACATCAGCAATAGACCATGTTGCTTGGTGTTGCCACTCAAGCTCATGACTCCTACTAAAGATTCTTGTTCCTTCTATTAGAAGTATAGTAGTTATGACCCAAAAATCTGATGTATTCAAAGTGATAGCAAAGCCACCAAGAAGAACAACTGTTGCCCATATGAAACCAAGTGTTCCTAGTCCAGTTGCTGCTTTTTCAAGCACTGCTAGCCTCAGAGCAAAAAGGGTAATCTTTTTCTCCGGTGCACGAATCGTTGGCCTTTTCGGAGAAACAGAATTAGCTGTGCTGCTGTTCTTTGTCTCCATTGGACTTTGAGGTTCAAAGATTGTTGGACCTCCACTTTCTGTCACACTTAGTCTTCCATTAAGTTCATTTATCTCTAGATGAACACTTCCTTCGCTCTCTATCGATGATCTACGATCCATTTTTCTCTTTTTTTTGGACCAAGAAAGATTGAAATTTTAGCTATACAATGGAAAATTGGTTACAAAAAACTCAAGAAAGTAGCACTTAAGCTTTTTATGACATGAAGGAGTTGATGGTTTTAAGGTTTGAAGGAAGAGAATGTTGTGTTGATGTGTTGATAAAAATAGTTTATATATATATATTTGTAGAGAGGAAAATGAGCTTAGAGTACACGTTTAAGTTGTGGAAATGAGGAGGAAAGACAAACGTTAAGTTGCGTCTCTTTCCGCTATTTTTTCAAGGAAGTTAGTTTTTCAAGTTTCTGCTTTGTTTGTTTGTTTGGCTGCTCTGCTTTTAAGTTTGCCAACAGGTATTCTTACTAGTTTGGATTAACGGCCTAAGCAACACAGAAAAAAGTACTCTGTATATTGGTGAAATATTACTCTCTATTTATGTATGTCTAGTAAACCTTATAAGTGGTGAGATTCTTGACTTCATTAACTTCGATGGAGTAACAGGTAAAGTTGCTACCATGTGATCAGGAAGTCACGAGTTCGAGCCGTAGAAAGCAGAAACAACCTCTTGCAGAAATGCAGGGTAAGGCTGCGTACAATAGACCTTCGTGGTCCGGTCCTTCTCCGGACCCCGTGCATAGCGGGAGCTTAGTGCACCGGGCTGACCTTTATTAATTTCGATGAATTGATCCATTTAATAAGAGTTTCAATTCTACACACTGACGATATAAAAAGTATTTACACAATTAGATCACTTATCAGGTGTGATTACACGTGAATCTCTTGATAAGTACTATTAATTTATAGTCTGATAAAAATCAAAATATAAGGTGAGGGTTACTATAATCAGAGTCATGGTTACAAATAATACAAGACTGGACAAGACAAAAATAGCAGCTCTAAAGTAAAATATGAAAGCCACTTTCCCCCCTAATTTTGGATAAAGTTGCTTCTCCTTTATCTAACGAATTCTCACACATTTTTTACCTGATTTTTCCTTGTCAGAAGTTTCTTCTTGTAAAAGCAAACTTTATAAATAGTAAGTTATTTATGACTATTCTAAACTAGCTTGAGCCCATGATGTGGGAAGTGTCATCTCTTGGGGAACAAGTTACTGTCAGATATATAAGAATTGAATTAGTTAGGGATGATCTAATACATCATTCTTCCTCTGATTATAAGTTATAACTGAATGTATTCTATTTGTTTTAAAGTACTTACAATTACGTTTATAAAAAATATCCCAGTGTACTAAACTCCCGCTATGCATGAAATTTAAAAAAGAGCTGAACCGTATCGGGTCTACTCTACATGTTTTTATTGTGCATTTTTTCACGAGGCTATTTTGACTTTTGCGACTTGAACCCAGGGGTCATTTTCCAAAAATAAATATTAAACACTATATGTTTACCCTAAAAATTGGATAACAATTAAAATTATAATGTGGTTTTAAGGATACGTGATTTCACCTAATACCAATTGATAAACGTAAAGATTAACAGTATAGATTAACAATGAGATGAAGCAAACCACTCTTGAAACGTGATTCAACCCTCGAGCATGAGCGCCCTCGAACTGATCGGTGCCCAAAATAGTTAAGAAACAAACTAACTGATGAACAAGAATATAAGCTAGAGAGAAAGTATTGTATTGCTTTGATATGCGTGAATGTCCCCCCTTACAAGATGATTAGGGCCCTCTTTATATAGTAGAGGAATCCTATTTATGGTATAATTCTAATTACGGAAGTAAATCCCATGATGGGCTAAATAACCGGTCTTGACTTGATACGTGCCAAGATATCTGCCACGATCCTTGCCCGATCGCGGATATCTCGGCTTTTTGTTGTC